TTCATTCCTCTTTTTATCCTCATTCATTTGGTTTCCTATTCCTCATTTTCCATTATCCTTGGGTTTATCCTATTATTATGATTATATCACCGACCAGGCTCGGGATGTACTGGCGCGCTCTATCTAGCGTAATCCTGCCGTAATCCCTTAAAGCCAATAGCCTCGCGTGGCTATACGCAGGGTGATTCTATTTCTAGAAGGGTCTATTCCCTTTGGATACGATAAGCCTGGTTACCTGATGTATTCTGGAAGTATAAAAGCACCTTGTACTGAATGATAGTGCAACATTGAGCAAACCTTTCCTCGGGACATTCGCTCCTGTGACAGTCGTGCGGCAGCTGTAGGAATCCGATTCTGACGAGGCGACTGTGAAGATGCTGCTGCCAAAGCCGCGGGGCTTGCTTGATCCCGTAAAGGGATTTTATCAGCTGGCACACTTTTGTGGGGTCGTCGATGAATCCGTGGGGCTGCTCGACGAAGATCTCGGCGTCTACAGGTGCGTACAGGAAGGCATTTGCGACGTCGATCTGGCGCAGTGGTAGTTTCTTCGTGGCTGCGACGGCGAGTAGAATGCGCAAGGAGGTGTGACGGGAGACTGGGGCGAATGTTTCTGTGTAGTCAGTTCCGTATCGTTGATCGAATCCTCGTACGACCCAGCGAGCTTTGAATCGTTCGATGGAGCCGTCCGCATTGGTCTTGATGCGGTATATCCATTTTCCCGAGAGAACGTTCTTCCCGTTGATGTTCGTTGCAGGTACGAGCTTCCATGTATTTCGGTCTTGCAGAGCTTTCAGTTCCTTTTCCATTGCCTCCTTCCATTTCGCCTTATGTTCCCCCCCCAGAGCCTGCGACAGAGTCGTTGGCTCTCGTGGAGATGGCGGCGGCGGATGCTGGACGGAGACCCATAAGACGAGTATCTGCAGTCCCGTGGGTGTGTGTCGAGGGGAATTTTCATTCCCCGAATAGGCTGCTTCGTCACCATCTTCTGAATCAGGTAAGAAGTTCTGGCCGATGCGTTGTGAGACATTTGTGTCGACCGGGTGAGGTGTAACGTAACCTTGGTCAGCGAAGTGGTAAAGGGTGTCGAGGTTGTTGCTATCGAGGGGATTGTCTTCGTCGAGTGGAATAGGCACGGAACAGTAAGGGAGTGGTCCGGCAGCTTCCGAAGCTCCAGGTACGTCTTCTTCTGCTGCGTCAGCCTCGGCAGCACGGTCGGCGAAGGAGCGATGGCCCGCGAAGCCGTTGGTGGGGTCGGCTGTGTTGGCGACGTTGTCCAGGTAATGCTGCAGTGTCAGTCGTTCGTAGAAGATCACATCACGTGATGCCACGGTATTTTTTTTTTGTATGTCGAGGAGTTTCTAGGCTTGGAAATGTTTGGCGATGCCGAGGTGTAGTCCCCACCTTGCTCGTTGAGTGAAGCGTCTTGCTCGGGCTGTGTGGGGTCTGTACTGTACCATGCAGCCGAAAACCCGAAGTAATTTTGTGCTGCCCCTTTTTCGTGTCCACAGCAGGTGCGGTGATGCGTTGTTGGGAAGCGAGGACGAGGATAACAAATTGTGCAGGTGGACTGCATGGGTCATCGCATCTGGCCACAGTGCGTTGGGCAGTCTCATCCCTAGGAGCAGCTTCCGCATCGTCGTCTGCAAGGTCCGGTTCATGCGTTCTGCGACCCCCTGCTGCTGGTGAGCGTAGGGCAGAGACACCTGTCGTCTGATTCCTCTTTCCGCCAAGTAGTTCCTGATCGTTGTGACTGGTATTCGAGTGCGCCGTCTGACTGGAAGCTCTTGAGCTTCGTTCCTGATTCTCGTTCAGCGATGGGGAGCCACGTCGTGAAGGCTTCGAAATCTTGATCGCGCGTCTTGAGGTTGTAGTGCCATACGTATCTTGTTGCTGCATCGATGAACGTGATGACATAGTTGAAGTCGGCTTCCGTGTCGTCTCGAGGCATGTTTAAGATGTCGCTGTAAACTTTTTCCATCGGTGCGTATGCAGGTGCACTTGGATTGTGATGTGATGGAAAAGGTTGGTGGGGAAGATCTGCTTCGGGGCACGTGAAGCACCGTGCGCGAGGTTGTCGAAGTTCTTGGCCGCTTGTCGTAAGAAATGCGTTTTGTTCTAACACTTCGGCTTGGATGGTTTGTAGTACCGTACTGTTTGCAGGATGTCCAAGGCATTGGTGCCAGATGTCGTCGGAGGCGCGATGGCCGGGCGAGCGTTGGTACATGTCGGTGTTGGAGAAGAACGCGACGACCGTGGCGGGACTTCGGCAGACTTCTCGTGTGATGGGCATAAGTTGATCTGGTTCGGTTGGTGGTCCTCGGATTGCTGGTGATGGTACTCGGCTAGGTCCTGCTGCTGTTACTTCAGGTGATGTCGAGGAAGGAACGCTTGCTGGTACTTGTCTTTCTTGTCGAATAACTGCTAACACTCGTGTTCTCTCTGCCGCAGGTATGGTGTTGGAGTACCAGAATCCATCTGGGGTGAAGTCGGGGTCAAGGTCCGGCGGGTGCGTCCAGGCGGCGAACGACATGATGCCATCGCTGTCGGCGGTGCTGCGGTCGGGGACGAAATCCAACACGAAGACGCCTGACTTTAGGAGAGCACGACCGATGAAGAGACCGCCCTTTCCGTGGTAAAGGCGAAATTCGTTGGAGTCCGAGTTGCACTCCAGGTGAATTCCTTTTGCCATTAACTGGCTGACGCTGAGTAAGTTGTATCCCAAATTGTCGACGATGATGACTTTGTTGAGTTGTAGTATGACGTTCGTCTCCATTGACTGAAGCTGAACATTGCTTGTCTGTTTGTTTTCAGGTTCTCGTTGTTGGCGAGGGTGATGATGACATCGCGGTTGAGGCGTCACTCTTGCTGCACGAAGCGCCCGGAAGAACACATGTGTTGACCGCAACAGCTATCCAAGAACCAGGTGTTCCGCCCGGTGGGTTCGGCGTTGGCGACAGCAGCGTATGTCGGATTTACCTGAAGTCCTTGTGAGCGCGGCGGCGGCAGTTCTTCCTCGTCTGGAGCGTCAGTGGGTGGTGAGCCGGGTGCGCAGTTGTCGATGTGGACCATGCAATTGATGATGTTTGGTGTGCCTTGTGCAGATAAGGAGGGACGCTTCGGCGGGCTTTCTTGAGTGGAGGCGACTTGTGGGTCTATTGGGCGATAAGCTCGTGGGCGTGTGCAGTTGAGTCTGGAGTGTCCAGATGTTTGACAGTTGTGACAGAATGGCGGCACAATGGTGAGTCCTCTGTTGTCGCGTTGATCTTGCTTGCTGCGTCGGTTGTAGTTGTTATCGTTCCTTCGTTGAGTGTAGAAGACTAACGGTTGCTGCTTCCTTGGTTGTCTTTCTTCAAACAGATCCATCTCTTGTTGTTCAGCATGGAGCTCGGCGCAGAGGTGCATCTCCGAGATTCGTCCGTGGGCGCGAAGAAGCGAGCGGGTGGTTCTCCATTCTGGCCCGAGCCCAACGAGGACAAGCGTCACGAAGCTTTCTTCAGTGATTGTTCCTCCGCACCGAAGCAGGCGATCGCGGAGTGTCTGGCATCGACTCATATACTGCATCGCCTTTTCCCCGGTCTTCATCTGTATTGTTGTCAGTTGCTGCATGAGTCTGCTTTGTGTCACGCTGTCGTTTGCTTGATAGAGACACTTGAGGTGATGCCATGCGAGTTCCGCGGAGTTTCCATAGCTCCGATACGTTCTGATGCTTTGCTGTTCTTGTGGTGACAGGTTCCGCAGGAGGACTGTGTACGCCAGCAGCAACTGATATGTAAAAATTTCTTGCTCTTTCGCGGTGCCATTGCTTGGAAATGGCAGGGACCCGTTGAAGTATCCCAAGAGATGCGCAGCCTCCATCAGCAGCTCGAACTCAAAGCTCCAGGTAAAGAAGTCGTGTCCGTTGAACGGTGAGGATGTCTGCAGTTTGATCACGTGTGAAAACTGCGCCTGGAGACTCAAAATCTCGTTTGGTGTCTGTTGTGATGCAGCTACTGTTGGTTGGGCACGGGGCGGCATGAACTCGAACGTCCCCGGTGAAGAGTGATAAGGCGCAAATGTAGGCGCTTGATTGTGTTGCCCAAACGATGAGTTGTCGCTAATCCCATGTTTCCTCCGTTGCTCTGTGTTGAATGTGCAGGTGTCCTTGTCTGCTGCTGCTGGTCGAAGTGTGACATGAAGCTGAAGAACCTGTCCATAAGGTTCGGGTCCACGCTTGAAGAGGGTGATGGGGTCACCATTTCGGGTGCTCTTCCTGTTGTTTCTTGAGCAGCACCGGTCTCGGATTGCAGTCCTGAAGTGTGTAATCCAGAGTTGCCGGGTTGGGTGTCTTGGGCGCTGGGTGAGCCCGTAGAGGTCTTCTTGCCTTTGTTGTCCATGACTTGTAATCAATGAAGTTTGTTGAGGTGTTGACTGTAGATAGACGTTGTTGTTGGGAGTTTGGTCTCTAACCAGCTCTCATACCATGTTGGGCTGAGAAAAGCCCTTAGGATCTTTCCAGAGACTAAGTCCAGTTGTAAAACGAGACTTGAGTAGTGCAGCGGAAGTTGAGTAGTTGAACCCTTGTACTAGTATATGAGAACAAATGATTGATTAAAGGAACAAGCATACAGCAATATATAGAAAGTAGGAAGGTAAAGCAGTTGTAGAATACAGTTGAAAGAGCGGTTATCGAGTCGCACAGCGACTCGATTGTCGCTTCGGTTACCATCTTTGCAGTTGTAACTGTCAGTCGCAACCTCCAGTTGCGACCCTTCGAGTCCTTTCGTGTTCTTTGTCCATCCCCTCGTGTAACCTCCGTTGACTCGCGTACCCGTTACGACCTTCCTCGAGTGTGGTGTTACACTTCAGAAACGCTTAAGTCCTTGAGGTATTTCCAACAAAAAGAAAGCGCAAAAGTAGCTTTCAAGTCTAAGGGGCAAGCCTCGAGGCATAACTTTGGGGCATGAGTTCTACGGACTGGATCATTCAAAGTGCTGGCTTGGGCGATCTCTTCGGTATAACTGATGCCCCAAAGTCCTGCCTCCAGGCTTGCCCCAAGCGCGGAACGTGCCCCAACCAATTGCCGCACACAATTCAATTCACAATTTCAGCCAGGAACCTCCAATGGGGGACATCCATCCCGTAAATGCTACCACCAAACCCTCCTCCACTCATCCTGCCTGAGTCCTGGCTGCATCACCTGACCTTGCTGCTACTCCCTAGCAGCTGCAGCCTCTCCTTAGCACTGCTCAGGGTGCGCCGAAGAGACGGCTTTGGCACGGGTGCGTGCACGTGATCCGCCATTGCCTTGTTTCCGCCCCCTTGGCTCCTGTCCATGCTGTCACTATCCTTCACCTCCCTCCTGCTGCTGCTGGGGCTGAATTTGCTGAAGATGCGGCTGCTGCTGGTGCTGCTGGGTGCAGGGCTGCTGCAGCTGTTAGTTACACCTAAGCTGCCACTCATCGAAGCGAAGTTAGCCACTGATTTGGATCCTCTCATTTTAGGAAAATACCGTTTACCAGTAGAAGTTACTGCTTTACTGGGTGTAGTGCACTGGGGAGTCCCAAATCCGATACTGTTGCTGGCTCGCGGCGTGGATGAGGCAGATGTGTCTTTCCAGGGCCACGCGGAAGACAATTGGCGGAAGGACAGGTTTCGGCGCATGGCGCTAAGGGAAGGTTGCGCCTGAACCACTACCGTTCGTTCCTGGTACGACCTGTGCTTGTAGCCGAGTTCACGCCGCTCCAGAGAGTTGCTCATCTCGTTGTTGTCACCCTTTTCCAGCGGAACATGCGTTGACACTGCTCCAGGGGGAGCGGTGAATCGGTAAGGGAAACCACTGTCATTGTGAGCGTCGATATCGTTCGATTAAACGGTTGAGATGTGCGACGAAGATGATGGGGTTGTCGCTTGTTTCGATGGGAACCAGCGATGACTCCAGCTAAATGTTGGGCCGCTCATTGCTCTTGAATCCAGCGACATTCGTGAACCACCACCGTAGGGTGTAGTTGGCGGGGTGTTCAAATAATTGTACGAGAAACTCGAACGGACCATCGTGTTATCGCAGCTGCTATATTGCGTATCCCCGTCTAAAGCCATCAACACCTGCTGTGTCTCCACCACTCGCAAGGTAGCTTCGCTGATTCTACACCGTGCCGCGTCCATCCATTTCGGATCGCATGCCAACTCAGCAGAAGCCCGCGCGCCCGCTAGCGCGTCGCCGGCGGAAAACGAGGATGCGCGCATGAGCTCGTATTGCTCCGCCAGGTCCTCCCCGACCGCTTCCCCCCACTCACTACTCTCTCCGCTGCTGCTGCGGCTGTGTGTCGCGGGCAGGAAAACACGCGGGACGTCATACGATGGTCCCCACATAAACCAAAGGATAATGGAAGAGGAGGAATAGGAAACCAAATGAGATGAGATAACGACCAAATGAATCAGGAAAAAAAGAGCAATGAAATAGATATGAAATATGGAAAGGGGAAAATGGTGTAACGGTGTCGTACTCTCACTAGACAGGTTTGTGCCTTAGAAAGAACAGCACACTAGTCTATATTGCCCTGTATCTTCCTATTCTAGTCATTCTCTCTTTCTAATATGGTATCATGAGTAGGTTAAATTCCGCTCGCCCGCCCGAGCTTCTGCCCTAGGCCCTAGCCGCCCTCGTGACCCTCCCCTAGCTGGCCCGCCCTGGCCACTTCGCGCCCGCTCCTAGCTGCCCCCCTGGCCATTCGTGCCCGCCCCTAGCTGGCCCCCTGGCCGTCGCGTCCGCCCCTAGCCGGCCCCCCCTGGCCGTCGCGTCCGCCCCTAGCCGGCCCCCCCTGGCCGTCGCGCCCGCCCCTAGCTGGCCCCCTGGCCGTCGCGCCCGCTCCTAGCTGGCCCCCTGGTCGTCGCGTCCGCCCCTAGCCGGCCCCCTGGCCGTTCGCGCCCGCCCCTAGCTGGCCTCCTGGCCATCGCGTCTGCCCCTAGCCAGCCCCCCCCTGGCCGTGGCGCTTGCCCCTAGCCGGCCCCCTGGCCGTCGCGCCCGCCCCTACCTGGCCCCCTGGCCGTCGCGCCCGCCCCTAGCCGGCCCCCTGGCCGTTCGCGCCCGCACCTAGCTGGCCCCCTGGCCGTCGCGCCCGCTCCCTAACTGGCCCCCTGGCCGTCGCGCCCGCCCCTAGCTGGCCCCCTGGCTGTCGTGCCCGCTCCCTAGCTGGCCCCCTGGCCGTTCACGCCCGCCCCTAGCTGGCCCCCTGGCCGTTCGTGCTCGCCCCTAGCTGCCCCCCTGGCCGTCGCGCCCGCCCCTAGCTGGCCCCCTGGCCGTTTCGTCCGCCCCTAGCCGGCCCCCTGGCAGTCGAGCCCGCCCCTAGCTGGCCCCCTGGCCGTTCGCGCCCCTGTCGCGCTCGCTCCTTACCGGTCCTTCGCGCCCGTCCCTCGTCGGCCCCGCCCCCTCTTCTAGCCGGCCCCGAGTTCGCTACGCTGCCGGCCCGTCTCTGACTCGTGCCCGGTTCGTCCTTCTCCGATCTGCACTGCCCTGCACCGCCCAGAGCTGCTCTCCACCGCTTGGCACCGCACTCCACCGCCCAGCACCGCACTGTACCGCACTGCACCACCCTGCACCGCCCTGCACCGCACTCCACCGCTCAGTACCGCACTGCACCGCACTGCACCGCTCTGCATCGTTCCTGATGGCGGAGGTACTTCGATTCGACGCTGAGGGTCAGCCGCTTGAGTTTGACGCATGGCTGGTCGACCTCCGCCGCCATCTTACTGGTCAGCGGCAGGATGGCCACAAGCTGTCTGTCCACCTTGACGGTACGCTCCCCTGCCCTGACCCCCCTGCTGCGCTGCCTGCTGACCCCTCGTCTGCTGAGCGTGAGTCCGCTGCCGCTGCTGACCTTGCTTGCTCTGTCTGGCTGTCGCGTGACGCTGTTGCGCAGCTTGCTATCAGCCATGCCCTCCCACTCTCTGAGCACCCTCGCTTTAAGTCCGTCACGACTGCGCAGCCGTTCCTAGATGCTGTTGTCCAGTGCTATTCCACCCCACCTGCTGCCTCCATAGGTCGCCTTATCCTGCCGATGCTTTTCTCTGACCTTGCGTCTTTCCCCACTGTCGCTGACCTTGCCGCCCACCTGCGCACGATAGACGCGACCTGGCGCTGTGCCTGCACTGAGACCCAGCTTAGAGCCCATCAGCCGTCCCTCTGCTCTGCCCTTTACCTGCTAGCCACCCGCCTCCCTGACCATCTTGCCACTGCTCGCGACCGTTTCCTTAGCGTCCACCCCGGTGACCTCACCCTCACCGACTTTGTCGACACCCTGTCTGCCATAGAGACCCGCCACCGCTCTATCGCCCAGACTAGCGGTACTGTGCCGGTCCCCATCTTTCAGGGTTGTGCCCCTGCCCAGTGCACCTTCTCCGAAGGTTCTGCTGCTGTGGCTGAGATTGCTGCTGCAGCGCAGCTCTGTCCGGGGAAGGGTCGCCGCCCCAAGGTTGGGCGCGGCGGAGGGGGTGGGGGTGCAGGTGGAGGTGGTAGTGGAGTTGGGGCGCCTGGTGGTGGCGCAGACGAGGGGACTGTCCCTGGTGCCGCCGAGCAGCCGTCCCAGCAGCCGTAGCCGTCGCAGCTGGACCAGTACCACCCGCAGCCGCAGCCCCAGCTCCTGCCGCAGCAGCCGCAGCAGCAGAGGCGGGCGAGTGGTCTCCCGCCCGGGTGGCCTGGCGCTGGTGGCGGCGGTGGACATGGTGGTGGACGTGCGCGTGGTGTGCTCCCGGGTGGCCGTTCGGGTGACGGGCGCTGCTAGTACCAGCTCCTGACCGGTCCTCGTCGCGGCTCCGTTTGCGGTAAGACCGGTCACTCCCCTGCTCGCTGCTTCCGTCGCCTTGACGACCTGTTTCGTCTTCGCTTCGGCCCGTCACCCAACCTCCCTGACTGGTTCAGCTTGCTTCGCCGTAGTATTCCGATTTTTGATATGGACATGGATGAGCTTAGCTCTGCCCTGTATGTGCTGTATGCTGATGACTATAGTGTGACTGGTTCTTGCTACCCCGTGTTGCCTAGTGTAGGTGTGCCTAGTCGTGCCCCCCCTGCTGCGTCAGGCGTAGGACCTCCTGCCTTGTTTAGCCTAGGTTCCTCCGTCGCTGCTTCGACCCCGGCCGCCACTGCTGCGCTCACCTTCACCCTGGACTCTGGCGCTTCTCGGTGTTTCTTCCGCGACTCCACTACGATGTCCCCGCTTGCTGCTCCTGCTGCGTTGCCCCCCTCCACAGCGCCACCGTACATGCCTTGCGTCGAGGGTCGGCTCCGCCGTGCCCCTCACTCCTCCTCTTTCCCCCACACCACCGCACCGCTACAGACCTTGCACATGGGCGTCTGGGGCCCCGCCCCCGTCCATGGACCGCGTCGCGAGCGCTACTTCCTCGTGCTTGTTGATGATTACACGCGCTACACCACGGTTTTTCCCATGGAGCGGAAGGCCGACGTGCCTGACGTTCTTATCCCCTGGCTACTCTCTGCGCGTGTCCACCGCAGTCTCCCTGTCCTGCGTCTTCACTCTGACCGTGGTGGCGAGTTTGCCACCAGTGTCCTTGGTCGCTTCTGTCGTGCGTAGGGCATCACCCAGACGTTCACCCTGCTGGACTCGCCGCAGCAGAATGGGGTTGCTAAGCGACTCATCGGTTTGGTCATGGAGGTGGCTCGTACCTCTATGATCCACGCCGGTGCACCCCATTTTCTGTGGCCGTTCGCGGTTCGCTACGCTGCTCACCAGCTTAACCTGTGGCCGCACTCTCAGCGGCCGTAGGTTTCGCCGACCCTTCTTTGGACCGGGTCTCCAGGTGACGCGTCTGCGTTCCATGTCTGGGGATGCCTTGCTCATGTTCGTGCCTCTGGCACGGACAAGCTTACTGCCCGCACTGTCCCCTTTGTCTTCCTTGGTTTCCCCCTTTGACGAGTCCGTTTCCTTCTACCACCGCTAACCACACCATGGTCCCCCAGTTACCCCCCCCCTGTTCCTGGTTCCCCCGTCCCTGGTAGCCCCAACCTCGCCCCCCTCACGTCCTGCCCTGTCCGATGTGTCTCACGTCACTCTCCTCCCGTCGGTTGTCCTTGTAGAGGAGTCTGCTGACTCTGGTGGTCCTGCGGCCCAGTCCTTGCTCCCTGCCTCCCAACCGGTGTCTCCTCCTCCGCCGCCGCAGCAGCAGTTGCCGCCGCTGCCGCCGCCGTCGTCGCCGCTGCCGCCGCCGTCGTCGCCGCCGCCCGAGCCGTCACTGCCGCAGCAGCCGTTCGTCGCCTCTGGTGATGCTGGACTGGGGAGCGGTACCGGTGCTGGCAGAGTTTATGGCTCTGGGGGTGTTCCCTCTGGGGGTGCAGGAGTGGAGTGTTCCGGCGGTAGCCGTGGAGCTGCTGGCGGTCCCGGAGTTGGTGTTGTGCCGCAGCAGCCGCAGTCCCTGCCGGTGTCAGCCCTTCGCCTGCTCGGCCTTCCGTCCCCTCCTCTT